ATACCCTAGGCCACCTGACGCTCAGGAAATCCGACGCGTCCCGCACACGGGATGCCCCCACCAGGACTCAGGGTCCCCCCTTCCGCATTCAGGTAATTTCTTCTTCCACTCTTCCAGTGGCTTGAGCCATAAATCTGGGCTGCATCCTGATTTCTTTCTCCTCACCGACCCTTCCTATCCACCAGCAAGCCCCAGCCCCTCCACCTTCCAAAGAGACCCAGAATGGCCCGCTGGGTCACCTCCACGCTCACCGCTCCACTCTGACCTTTTTTTTTTTTTTTTTTTTTGACCGGAGATGGAACTCAGGCCCTTGCGCTTGTGAGGCAGGCACCGGAACCACTGAGCTCAATCCCGGCCCATGATCTTTCTACCTCCTGCCTGAGCTGTGCGGCCACCTCCTCGTTCTCCTGCCTCCCAGGCTCCGGAGCCCACTCTCCTCAGGCAGCCAGAAGGATCCCGTTCACACGCACTCGGCCATGCTCGATGGTCCACCAGCACGGCCCTACAGCATGCTCCGCAGTGCTGGAAAGGTTCTCCATTTTCTTGAGCCCCAGCCACAAGGGACACTGAGTGCCTGAAATATGCCTCGCATAGCAACATGATTACATTTTCAATTTTCTGCAATTTAACTTATGTAATAGCCACTGTGCTGCAAAGCTGTAGGAAACAGGTACCCTGCAACACAGCTGGTGAGAATATAATTAGCAACTGATTCGAGCAGCAATACCCACCTACCCACCTACCATCTGGGGTTTTTTTGTGTGATTTTTATTTTGAGTCAGGGTCTCACTATGTAGTAGAGACTGACCTGGAACTCACTATGTAGCTCAGGCTGGTCTCGAACTCACAGCGATTCTCCTGCCTCAGCCTCCCGCTGGGATTACAGGTGTGTGCCACCTTGCCCTGTCCCACCTACCATCTGGTTTGTCAATTCCCATCAGCATGACAAAGGCATATTAACATTTCCCCAGCAACCCCGCCCCTAGAGGTGAGGCCCACTGAGCTCCCTGGGAGTGCAAAGCTAGACATCAATTGCAAAGGAGAAGCTACGGAGTGACCATCCACAGGCACCCAGCTGGATAAATTATGGCCCAGCCAGGCAAGGGGATATGATGCAGCTGTTTTAAAAAGTAAGGTGACAGAACATTTAAAGCACAGATGACAACAGTAACAAAAGGAACAGGTCATCTGCATTTTATCGAAAGTTAAAAAAAAAAGTGTTGGTCAAAGGATACTGACAAGAAAGTAAAAAGACCACCAACAAGAGGAAGAGAGGGGCAGGGGATTTAGCTCAGTGGTGTGAGGACCTGAGTTTGATCCCTGGTACCAAAAAAATGATGAGGGGAAACATTTTCAAATCTTATGAGGGATTTGTGTCCGTAAGTATATAAACAGTTCAACAGTAAAAAGAAAAAAACAAATGGTTAAATAGATATCTCTTGAAAAGGATATGAAAAAGATATGCTAATGGAAATAAGCACAAAAAACATACTCTTCATCATTAGCCAACATGGAAACGGAAATCAGAAACATGATGAGATAGCAGGTCACACCTGTTAGGGTGGCCGGAACCCAAAGTGGGGCAACTAGAACAATCACACTGTTGGCGGGAATATAAAACAGTGCAGCTGCTGTTTGCTGGCTGTACCGGTCAGCTTTCCACTGCTGGAACCAAAGGCCTGGCGCCCACAGCTTTAAAAAGGAGTAGTTTATATGGGCTCAGAGTTTCAGAGGTTTCAGCCCATGGTCATCTATCTGGCTCCAAAGTGGAAACATCAGGGTGGACGTGCATGGGAGAGCAAGGCAACTCAGCTCGTTCACCCACCACCCACTTCCTCCAAGCAGGCCCCACATTTTTTTTTTTTTTTTTTTTTCTGTGCTGGGAATTGAACTCAGGACCTTGTACTTGCCAGGCAGGCATGGTGCCACTGAGCCACATCCCTGGCCCCTCCAGCTAATACCCATTCAGCTATGAACTCATCAGTGGTTTAAACCACTGATGAGGTCAGTGTCATCACAATCCAATTGCCTCCCTGGTGGTCCCTTAATCCAGTGAAGCTGACGATAAAGATTAACTGGCACAGCCTGGAGAGGTGGCGCATGCCCGTAATCCCAGCACTCGGGAGGCTGAGGCAGGAGGATCGCTGTGAGTTCGAGACCAGCCTGGGTTACATAGTGAGTTCCAGGTCAGTCTCAACTACATAGCGAGACCCTGTCTCAAAAAACCAAAAGAAAAAAAAAAAAAAAAAAGATTAACTGGCACAGTGATTCTCAAACAGCAGACCACATGTGACTCGGTAACTTGACTCCTAGATATATCCCTACAGGAAACGAAAATGCATGTCACACAGAAACACATGCACCAATCTTCACTGCAGCATTATCCACGACATCCAAAGCATGGAAACGAACCAAATGCCCGTCAGCCAGATGAATACACAAGATGTACCATACCCCTTCAGTGCGGTGGTATTTGGCCATGTAAGGCAATGGAGCCCACCCAGCACATGCTCCAACATGAGTAAACATGGAAACATCATGCTAAGAGAAAGAAGTCAGACACCAAAGGCTACGTATTACACGACTCCGTACAGGAATTGTCCACTGCAGGCAAATCCGCAGAGGCAGAGAGTAGATCCGTGGTTGCCAGGGCTGGAGGGAAGAGGAAAACAGGGAGTGGCTACTAATGGATATGGACTTTCTTTTAGGGGTGATAAAAATGTTCTCTAATTAGACAGCAGTGAGTACACACCTGTGTAAATATACTAAAAATCACTGAATTGTACCGGTATGTAATTTATTTATTTACTTGTTTATTTTATTTATTTTTATGAGACAGAGTCTGACTGTAGTTGAGACTGACCTGGAACTCACTATGTAGCCCAGGCTGGTCTCGAACTCACAGCGGTCCTCCTGCCTCAGCCTCCTGAGTGCTGGGATTACAGGCATGCACTACTACACCCAGCCGGTATGTAATTTAAGTATTTTTTAAAAAAGGATCAGGAAACTCTGTAATTGTACTGTCAGGGCAAGATAAAAAACAACAACAGGGCCAGGGATTGTAGCTCAGAGGTGCTACACGTGTCTGGCAAGCACAAGGTCCTGAGTTCAGTCCCTGGTACCAGAAAAAACAACTAACAACAATCCAAGAGCAGAATATATGTATCTTCACTGTGAAAATGGAAGGACAACATTATGTACTCATTTTGCGAGTATTTGAATAAAAGCATCAGAAAGCTACATATAAGCCTAGTTTAAAGCTGGAGAAGGCAGCCAGGGTGGGAGCCCAATGGCGTGTCTTCTTAATGAGCACCCCTCTATATGGTCTTCATCTTCACAGCTTGGGAGTGTCTTACCTAGTGACAGGAAACGCCTTTTTAAAAAATAAAAGCGGAAAGTGGTGGTGCACGCCTGTAATCCCAGCTACTGGGAGGCTGAGGCTGCAGGATCTTGAGTTTGAGGCCAGCCTGGGCAACACAGTATGACTGTCGCTCAGTGAATAAGTCCGATCATATCAACCTTCTGCTCAAACCTGCAGGGAAGGGACTTCCCAGATCATCTTAAGTAAAAGCCAAAGGCCTAATAATCCTGTTCAAGCCCCGCCCCATGTGCCTCTCTCCCTTGCTCTCTGACCTCCTTGATCCCCTGGTCCTCACCACACGGGCCCCCTCGCTGGAATATGGCTAGCACATTCCTGTCTCTCGGCCTTTCCACCTGGTGCTCCCTCAGCTGGGAATGATATGTTCCCCGGACATTTGCACACTTGGCTCCCTCCTCTCCTTTAGGCCTCGCTCAAACGTCACCTTTGTGAACAGACCTTCCCTGATTCCATGCCGTCTTCTTAGAACAGCGCTCAGGTCAGGTTGGTACTTTATAAGCAGGCTTGGGTGAATGAAAGAAGTAGTGTGTGAGCTCAGGCTGGCTGGCTGGCTGTCTAGCAGCCACTGGCATCCCTGGTGCTGACCACTGACGGGGTCTCCAGATGCCCACAGTAACCAGCCACCCCACTCTGCTTGGAAGGCTCCAAGACACACACCGAGCTTTGGACAGTGCTTACCATATCCAAGACCCAGCCCCCACCAAAGCAAGACACTGTAACCTCCTGGGTTAAAAATCCAACCTTGCAGTTAGTAAATGATACAAGGCCAGTCAGCTTCACCAGAATCTGCAGGGACTTGGGCAGCGGCTGGCCCCTGTCATCTGAAGGGGGTTCTTGTTTCCTGAGATGAGTGGGAAAGAGACAGGAAGGGGGCACTGGGCCACCTGGGACATTGGCCACCCAAGGTAGAAACAGCCCTGGGTTGACTGGCAGCTGAGGAATCTGGGGCTTAACCATTCAGCAAAGAATGAAGATGGAGCCTCTAAGAGAAATCTGGAAGCAGATGGTGGGGTCCTTAGAACCTCTAGGGGGGCTTCTAATCCCACTGCCTGGAATTCACCCAGGCAGTTACTGCGTGCGTCCTTCTGAGGCAGCTAGACCTAGGCTAACAGCCGGTTGCTGTCATTTACCTGCTGAAATAGTGAAGGCATTTGGCTTTACCTTAATTCTTTCAACTAGCATTTTTTGAGCTGCTAGGAGATCCGGGTAGGGTGTGGGGTTGGGGATGTTGCCAGAAACAAAGCAAGTTTTATGACCTCAGGAGCTTGTTTGTGGCAGAGGAGACGGAACTGCGAGTTCACTGCCCTGTCAAGCCTATGAAGACAAAACAGGGTGACGTCGCAGTGACTGGAGGAGAGGGCAGTGCAGCAGGCCATCAACACAGCTCCCGTGAAAAGGCCCTGTCATTAAATAATATGTTGCTCTTTTGGCTCTAGGCCCAGCGCCCGGCAGTTATTAAACGCTCAACAAATCTTAGAGATCCCCACTGTAATTTTCATCAGTTTACTGTCCCGTCTCTCAGAAGAACCTGAGCTGATGGCGGATGGGGACAAAGCTGGAGGTTTCTCCCCCAAGGTGCCCGGTACCGAGCTGCACACAGTCGGTGCACACAGTAGGCTCGATGAGCGCTCCGGGCTCCAGCCCCGGCCTTTCTCTCGGGGTCCTCGCACACGATCGGCGCCTAACGGTGCTTGCTGAAGAGATGCCACTCTCAGGACCGGGTCTCCGCCCACTGCACCGACCTTTCGGCCCAGGCCGATGGGGGTAGCGAAGCGCCTGGGCTCCCGAGAGGCCGAAGCCTGGCCGGCTAGAGGCGGAGCCGGGCAGGCGGGAACTCGCTGCGGCCCCACG